CCCTTTCACAATAGGAATCAGTCTAACAAAAGAAGCAAAAGACCTCTACACTGAAAACTACAGCACTCTGAAAAAAAGAGATTGAAGAGGATATAAGAAAATGGAAAGATATCCCCTGCTCCTGGGTAGGAAGAATCAACATAGTGAAAGTGGCCATACTATCAAAACTGCTATACAGATTCAATGCAATGCCAATTGAAATTCCAACACTATATTTCACAGAACTAGAAGAAAGAATCCAAAAATTCATTTGGAACCATAGGAGACCTAGAATAGCAAAAGCCATCCTAAGCAATAGAGACATGGCAGCATGTATGACAATTCCCACTTTGACACTATACTACAAAACAACTGTGATAAAAACAGTATGGTACTGGCAAAGAAACAGACCTGAAGATCAGTGGAATAGATTGGAAGACACAAAAACAACTCCTGATGCACTCAGATACCTCATCTTGACAAAGGAGCTGACCATCCCCACTGGAGGAAAGATAGCCTCTTTAATAAATGGTATTGGAAAAACTGGATCTCACCTGCCAAAGATTAAAACAAGATCCTATCTCTCATCAGGCACTAAATTAAAATCCAAGTGGATTAAAGATCTAAATATTAAAATAGAAACACCAAACTTGCTGAAAGATAAGCAGAACTCTTGAAGACATTGGCATAGGAAGAGACGTCATAAACAGATCGTCAGTAGCATGAGAACTAGCAGAAAGAATCAACAACTGGGATCTAATCTTATTTAAAAGCTTCTGCACAGCAAAAGGAACCATCAACAGAACTAAAGACAACCTACAATGTGGGAAAAAATTTTCACCAGCTGCTTCTCAGACAAAAGGCTCTTATCTAGAAAATATGAAGAACTCTAAACAAGCAGGCCCCCAAATATAAAGACCCAATTAAAAAATGGGAGTCTGAAATGAACAGACATTTCTCAAACAAAGAAGTAAAAGCAGCAAGTAAATATATCAAAAAAATGTTTCACATCACTGGTCATTTGAGAGATGCAGATGAAAACAACACTGAGATTCCACCTCACCCCATAAAGAATGGCTGCTATCAAGGAATCACACAATAACAAATGTTGTCGGGGTTGTGGGGAGAAAGGAACCCTTCTCCATTGTTGGTGGGAGTGCAGACTGGTGCAACCACTATGGAAATCAATATGGAGATACCTCAAAGAGCTGGGACTTAGAGGTTCCATTTGACCCAGTCAGCCCTCTGCTGGGTATCTTTCCAAAAGAATTAAAAGAATCATATCATAGTAATATATGAGCACCTATGTTTATAGCAGCATAGTTTGTAATAGCTAAAACTTAGAATCAGCCCATTTGCCTATCAGTTGGAGACTGGATAAAGAAGATGTGGTTTTTCTGTAAAATGGAATACTACTCAGCTACAAAGAATGAGAAATAAGATTCATTCATAGGAAGATGGATACATATTGAGGGTATACTCCTAAGTGAAATAAATAAGTCACACATATGTAAATACTGAATAGTTTCTCTGGTGTGAATAAACTATAACAGTACATAAGATCCTAATGAGATAATTGACAATGTGAAATAGGAAGAAAAGGGCTAAAGGTGTAGGGAAAGTGGGAAAGGTAGGGGAAAGGTAATAAGGGAAAGGAAAAAATGTGAGAAAATGAAAAAAATGAAATAAAATGTTTGTAAATGGGGAGGGGAGGAGGGGGAGAAGGGAGGGCAGGGACAATGGGATAAAATGAGAGCCAAGACCTGTCATGTAAAGGTACAAGATCCAAATGATGAATTTAACTGTACTGTATACCTAAAATGTACCAATAAACTCAAAGAGATAGAGAAAAATAAAAAAGAGCTATGAGAGCCAGGAGCAAATAAGGGCAACCTGGTATGAAAGAAAAATCTAATTAAATAGTAAAAGAAAGTTAATAGAATCAGGTAAATTTAACAGAAAAAGGCAAACAAAAAAAAAAGAAAAATAGGAAGAACTTAAAAAAAAGGAAAGAAGGAACAAAACCAGCCCCCCCAAACAAAACAAACAAACAAACAAAACAACAAAGAGAAATGAGTCTGAAACTTCCTCCATGTGTTTGGGTTAGTGATTTCTTTCCAGAGCCTATTGTATTGGACTTCACCAGATATGGGCAGGGGATAGTGAATCACAACTGGGCCTATTTTGTTTCTGCTTCTACCTTTTGCTGTATGAATGCTGAGTCCCACCCCACCATTCTTGTTGAGTGTGGTCAGTCAATGGCATTTCTCTCTAGGATTGCTCACTCTCTCCGGACTTAATTTGTGTTTGTGGAGACAGGAACATCTTTTCAGGATTTGGGGTTAGTGTTCCAGGCTGCTTCATTTTTTTTTTTTTTTTTTTTTTT